CGAACCTCGCCCTTTGAAGTGGTGGTGGAGGTCACGTGCGACGTCCCCTTGGGCCTGACGACCGGAATATCGGACCGTAAATAGGCTTCTTCATCCTCGACTTCTTCCAACGAAACCGAGGAAGTCTTGCCTCGAAGTGGCATTTGGTCACCGGGACGAGAAAGGTCCCGAGGCGGCACTTGGGCGCCTTTGGTAGTCGAGGTGGTGGAGGAGGGCTCTCTGCCCTTGGTTCGGCCCTGGCCACGGGCGCTTGTGCGTGGCGTTGTAACCTCCACTTCAGATCCGTACTTACTGCTCTTCCTGGACCCGGCGGTACTTCGGGTAGCCCTTCGCGAGCGCACACATATCGGCTCTCCCTTGGGGTCCGCACCGTTTGCCGCAGCATTGTCCTTGGCTACTAAGGGTGGGTGGTCCCTCGGGTTCACAGCCTCAGCTGCTTTCTCGACGCCTCCCGCTAGAACAGACGGCCCCACAAACGAGGACGCAGGCCCAGCGGGCTGGGCTGTCGGCCTTTCTCCCACTCCGGGGTGACCTCCCTTCGTCAAGGGTGCAGTCGGGACTCGACCTAGGGGGCTCTGCCCTCGAGGGGCTTTCCCTGTGCGGTGAGCCGGGGGTTCCTGAGCTCGGACGGCCCCTAGGGGTTCAGTACTGAGCGCAGGCTGCGCGGAGTGGCGGAAATCCCCTCCTACGCCGTTAGCGTTTTGCGATTCCTTGTTCTTAGTGTCTTTGTCTGGTAGCACGGCAACGAGATTGTTATATTGATCAAACGGGGTTCCTACATACGTAGTATAAGCCTGACTAGAATTACATGGGTGCGTACTGACAGAAACTAAGTCCTTAGCTGACATCATCGAATCGCTTATTTCGACGCCGGCTCGTCTTTTGACGACTTTGCGGCCTCCTTGACCTCCTCGACCTTCGTGTCCTTTCCTAACTCCTCTTTTTCGGCTTCAGCGAGTAGTTGACGAAGTCGGGCGACGTTGGGCTTTTTGCGAGGTGGGAGTTTGACGGGAAGCCACTTGGACTTGTCGTCGGGGCATTTGTGTTTTGGGGTCCACCCCGTGTTCCCACACTTAAAGCAGCGCTTGTCGGATCGCAGCTTGTCGATTTCCATTGGCTGACCGGCACCGCCATAGGTCGTCCCCGTGGCATCCTTCTTATCGCTTCCCTGTCCGCCGCCTTTTTGTTGATTGCCTCGACCCGAACCTCCTTGGTTCGAGGAGGACTTACTGCCCAACCCCTGGGCCACTCCGTATCGATAATTCGCGTCGATGCGTAATACTCGTGCCTTCCATTCGGCATAGGTTGTGGGGCGCTCATTGTCCCCATGCATAACCGTGTTGCGCACCGTCGTTCTGATTGCCGCTTCCACCGCTTCGAACATCTGCTTCTCGTCGCCGAATTCCTCGCATTTGTGGGCCAGCCGTTCGAACTTTGCGAAGAACTCGACTGCGGATTTGAAATCCGCTTGTCGGATCTTCTTCCATTCCGATTTCCATATGGTTAATTCCGCTACTTCGCGGAACTCGCGCCTGAGGTCTTCTGAGAATTCCGCCCAGGTGGGGAATCTCCAGTGACCTTGCGGGTCCCGGTATCGGTAGTATTGATCAACCCACCACTGCTGGGCGTCCCCTCGTAGGTACCCCTGGGCGAATGTAATGCGGTAGGGGTTGTGCCCCTGATCATTCATGGTGTAGTACATAGGGAATACCGCGAAATAGACCTCGCAGTGATGTAGGAATCGTGTGATGTCGGACGAGACCCCGGTGAAGTATTCAGGCTGGGTGACCAGCTTGGGCTTAACGTCATTCCAGGGGTTGTTTGTCCCTCCAGGCGCCAACTGCCAGGGTGGAATCGGGTCTGGTGGCGACGGGATGGCAGGCGGTGCCGGCGGCTTAGGCGGTCGTGAGAGAGACCGTAAATTTCGATTTTCCCCGGGAGGGGGATACCCCGCGGGGTCTGGGTATCGCGGCAGCTTTGGCGGAAACGGGGGTACCGTAGACCCCTTTCCCTTGTCTCGTGTGGACGGCCCAGCGCCTGGGTCGTCCATATCGTCATCGTCCCCACCTGCCCCCCCGAAGAAGCCTTCGGGGAAGAAGCCCGACGAGTCTGTCGGGTGAGGCATCGGTTGAGGCCTCCTATACGGTTCGCATCCCTGCTGCGGCACGGTGGGGTTCACCAGGTTCCAGACGGTAGCCGCCCGGTGCCAGGTTTCTACTTCCAGGATGTTCTTCATTAGATACACATCACCCATACTCTTGGCGTGACGGTAATCTTCTCCTGCTTCGGAGAAGAGCCACTGCGGGTCTTTCTCCATATCTTCCATCATTATTTCGTATAGCCCATGCCAAGGTAAGAGCTCGAAGATGCCGGGCCTAGGCGTGGGGCCCTGAAGAAGGACCTGCTTGACCGCCGCCATCACCGTCGGTTCTAGAGCCTGGTTTGGGGGTCGAGGTGGCATCCTCTGCCTCCTTCCTCTCTCGGGCGATGCGGTCAAGCTCCTTGTTTCGCTTCCACCTTCCGATGTCTGAGTCCTCGTTGGAGATTTCCTCCTGATATACTCTCCAGGCTCGGGCTCGAGCCTCGAGGTCGGTCCCTGCCCTCCGGGCGTATCCGGTGTATCGAACAGCAGCGGCTCGTACCCGGTTATCGATCTCGGCGGGAGTGGCGTCGGGCTCGACGGGTAAGTCCCAGAAGCCGTCGGGTCCGTAGAGGGCATCTTCTTCGGCGCGCCGGATGCGTGCATCGTGCGCTCTTCCTCGGTCCATTCTGGCCTGTACTTCTGGGGACTCCCGGACATCTCGAGGGAGTCGGAGGGACTCGACGTACGTGTGATAAAGGAGCGGCCACGGCCGCTGGGCGAGGGGGACGGGATCCGCGAAGGCTCGCGATGAGACTGACGTCTCCCAGTTGGAGACTCCGGTGCGTCGCTCGGCTGCGGTAACTGTTCCAAGTTCCTCGTTGTCGAGGTCTGGGAACTCGCCCCAAAGCTCCCCACCCGTCTGCTCGTGCGAGGCGACGGGGGGAGGGAGCGCTGGGGCCTCGGTCCTTGGAGCGATCGGGTCGGGCTCAGGTCCGGCCTGCTTTCTGGCCACAGGAGCCTCTTCCCCGTTGTCGGCGTAGACCCAACTGGTGTCGGGGGTACCAGGCGACTGGGGGGCCTCTATTGGTTGGCCAGGCCCTTGGAACAAGCTGTGGGTCAGCTGAACGGGTGGTAGCCGCGGAGGCTCCGAGGCTAAGCTCCCCTGGATCTTTGTCGTAGTCGTCTCGGCGACCTCGGTTGCGCGCAAGTCTTGCGCGGTCTCTTGCGTCGTCGGCCGCAACCCTCCGGTCTCGGACTCCCTCCCAGGTACCTTGGTGTCCCCACCCTGAGTGGGTTCTCCCGCTCGAGGAACCTCCGGTATCGGTGGCATCTTCCTCCTCACTCGGGTAGAGGTCGTTGAGGAGGTCGTCGAGTCGGGTTCTTTCCCACTCGGTGAGCTCGTCCCCTTCGTACTCGGTGTCAGGGCTTTCTTCGCCCGCGACCAGAGGCCTGGTGCCTTGTCCTCGGCCTCTGTCGTCGCCAGGCTCGCCTTGGACTGGAGACTGGTCGAAGAGACCTGGTAAGGGCGAGTCTCCTCGGTCGAGGAGTACGCCCCGGGTATCGGCGATGTCGATGGATTCTGCTGCTGCGCTGGAAGCGCTTCTGTAGGAGTCGGTGCTCGACTCTGAGGATCGCGAGCTGGGTCGCGACGATGTGTAGAGGGATCCTCCAGGTCTCCCGGAGTCGTTGGATTCGACATCTCCTACTGTCTGCTGAGATGCCGCTGGAATGTCGATTACCGGCGGTGGATACGCTGGTGTGCTCGGGACGTAGTGGACTGGAAGTTGCGCGCGGACTTGTCTCCGCTGGCAGCAACGGCAAAGCTGGTACAAAGTAATGGACAAGAAAAAGAGTATAAAAGTCGCGAAGACGGCGAGAATGGATTCTGACCAGGGCATTCGTCAGGGGATCTATCCGTGGCGTAAGTCGACGATGGACCATGCAAGCTGATAGACAGCAAGGATGGTGAGAACAACGAGAAGTGCGATGATTAAACTGAGGTCGGTCTCGTAGTTGGAACCGTTCATCAGTTGAATCTCACACGAGTCGTCAGATGGAGAGCTCGTTACTATTAACAATGCGATTGTCAACAGCGAGGCGAGCTGGAGGGCGAGAATAAAGGGTTTAATGTTGGGGAGCGTGGTGCCTTCTTAGATGAGACGGGGATAGAGCACGTATAGGGCGACTAGCAGGCTTGCTAGAAGCAGAGACGAGATTCCCAGTCCGATCAGAGCGAAGGTGAGGAGGACAGTCGTATAAACTGCCAGGAGAAGATCGTCGTTTCGGACGACGCGAACGATCAGGTCGATTACAAATACGAGGAGGAGTAGTCGGAAGGGTATTACCCAAAGGACTACTGCGAACACGAAATGTATCGGCTGAATTTTGGAATAGAAGGTGGTGAGTGCTTTTCCGTCGGTCCACTCGCAATGCGTTGACAAGCACCGGGTTGTCCACACGAACGCAGGCGATGACCTCCTCTGGTCAAGCGAGGGTAATTTCTTTAGAGGTAACCGGGCAGCGCTCTTTCTCGGAAGTTACGCTGGGCGGTCGTTATCGAGCTTCGGCTAAATGTTAGCCACTAACTTTATCGACTTAGATCGTGCTAAGGTCGCTACTCGCACTTCGGTAGGCGACGCTTTAGCAAGTCAAAGGCAACGAAGTCGATGGGACAGGTAGTCACGAAGAATGGAGTTCGATGTTAGGTAGATTAAACCTTAGCCGAAGCTGGGGTTCAGCCCAGCTGAGGCTCTACTTAAATACACGTAAGTATTCTAAAAATACTACTGCGCAGTCAGTCCGTGATGATCGCGCCTCGCATAATCTGGCTGACTAAAGAAAAGAAAAGAAAAGAAAAGGAAAAGGAAAAGAAAAAGAAAAAGAAAAGAATAACCGTAACAAATAGTACTACGTATGTTCAAAACTCTTGTAAGCAGAACCAAGTGCACCACTTGTTACAATGATGCCTTTGTGGAAATTGCTCGAGGGAACCATCCACGTTTCCTTCACCAAAGAGTTGCCGTCCCAGAACACTGTAAAATGATTAGCTTGAGTTTTATCATTTTTGCAATATGTACGCAGATTTTGCCATGACTTGGGGGTCCGTCAGCCATTTTCCGGTGCCTGAAGATGACATTCAATAACCCATTACTGAAAAGGAGATGTTGGAAGTACCTTGATAATCCGAGACAAAACACTTTCCCAATGTCTGAGAGTATTGGAGGTGCTGCAGGAAGCATAAAAATGTGGCGATGGCAAGATGATCTTCGGAAACATCTTCGACCGGTTCGGGGGCACCATTCGATACATACTTGGCGAAGTCATCAGAATCTAGGAGTTGTTCCACCAGGACACAAAAACCCCGCCAATCCTTTAGCTTGACCGATTCTGGACAGGAAGTCAGCGCGACTGCTGCCTCAACAAAGCGAAGGTCCGGAATCGGTCCAGGTGGTGGCCCATAGGATGACACTTTGGCATGGACCAATGCAATGCTCATGTCATGAATGGCATTCACCCAGACCAAAGTATTCGCTTCCTGTAAGATGGCCATACGTTCAACATCATCAGTCATCCGCTGCACCCCTTGCCTAGTCGTGAGGCCAAAGTACAGCCGCTTGATACAGACTTTTCCCTGCAGCGCTGCCGGAACATCAACACCCTCTAGGTTCATTCCAACCTTTAGCAGCCCAAAGTGAGCCATTTTGAAAGAGCCGGATCCGAGTCGTTGTTCTTCGCTCTCCGCCCAGTCGACATAAATGTGTCCCCATAACTGCGAAGTGAAGGTGAATTGAGGGCTGCTGAGAAGTCCAGAAATGAGTTGAGGGATCAAACAAATCTGAACCGCCTGTTCTGGTAAACCTAAAATATGTGTAGGTGATTAATGTGGATTGTTTTGGGTGTAGAACTCACCAGGATCGAAGCTGCTCTCAAGGTAAGTTCCACCAGTGTCAATAATGTCCGGAATCGCATCAAACCATTTGGTGCAGTCTGATACGTCAATGCCAGTACAAAGTCGCTTGCTGCTGGGAACGTCTGTAGGAGGTGCTGGAGAAAGCTACAGAACTCAGTTAGCCTGGTAAGACTTAACTGGAAAGTCACCCACCGCCCGTTTTGAGGAACATGACCGTTCGCTATTCACCTAAAGAATGATGTTAGGTTGTGCAACAAAGAGAATGTCCTCCTCTCACTGAGATGGTCGACTCAGGTGGTCCGGAAACAATTGAAACATAATCGACATCCGAAAGGTCATCCATCTGTTTAAAATCAATGAATATCCGAACAGGGGCATCCTAGTTAACATACATCTGAATCAAGTTCTGGTTCTTCGCGCTTCTTCCCTTTTCCATTCTTGACAGGGGATGACTTGAAAGAAATCAACGTAAATTGACACATAATGACGATAATCATACCTTTGGAGTATCACCAGCCTCCCATTCGTCATATCTTTCAGCCGCTGCAGGGTTGAGTACCATATACCAGTTCTCAGGGGCTCCCTGAGAATATTTCAAGCCTCTGACTGGTGTGCCCTTCTTTGAGAGCCCTTTGGTTATACCTTTATAAAACAACTCTGTTGGTTTCGTTAAATCTCCTTCCAGAACGGGTATCCACCCAGAGTCCACAACGAAGAAATCGTCAGTAGTGAACTTGAAGCCCTTCACTTTGTGATGGGCTTGTACTAAAACAAGCAGGCTTTCGAGCACGCATTGCACAACTTCAGCGCGGGGAGTCGGAGGAGGAAAGGTGACACCACGTTGTACGTTCTGCCAAAAGTCAAATGGTGTAACCGTGACAAAGTTACAGCTTACGTGGAAGGAGATGCCTTTCCTTGTCCCGTTTTCCCTTTTGACCTGAACAAAGACCTTTGCAAGTACGCCTTGACCTTCTACCGCGAGCTTGCGAAACTTGTCCTTCTCGGAATTGTAGAGATAATGAGCAGGCAAATAACCGATTTTAAGGGCATTTTTGTTCAGCAACGATGATATCGCGACTGGCAACCTCAATTCCGGCGCAGCTCCTGTCAGAGAGTACATTCACCGAACAAGAAAAGGTCAGTAAACATTCCTACCTTTTGCTTTGGCCTTCTTGACACTTTCATCAATCGAAAGGGTGTTTGGGATGGACACAATGACTTTCAGAATAGTGTCGGCTACTTCGAGCAGGTGAATTCCTGGAATCGTTGGAACGGGTGGTGGTGCCATCTGGCAGGCTAACAAAACCAATGAGATTTATCGCATTGTGCACATGGATAAGACTTACAGGATGACACCACTCCATCTTTCTTCGATAGATGTCTTGCGCGCTGTGATGCAGCTTCTATAAAAGAATATTGGCTTGGAAGAGGTGAAAGCGCAAAAGGGCGTACTTTTCTTTGACGCAAGCGCAGCGCAGGATTTACAAGTCATCAAGGTCAGGGTCTCAGTCCCCAGGTTCCTCAACGTAGCAGGCCCATCCTTGCACAAACATGCCTTCATTTGAAACTTTTCCTCCCCTGGCTGAAACTTGTATGGATCACCGTTCGCTTTGCGATTTTTGCAACGCTGGTATTCACAATGATCGGAACTATCATCTAGTGCAAAGGTAAGATCGACCGGATCAACTGGGCCTGGAACGTGTCAGTACCTGCCAGCGCATTATATTGTCGAATACTTACTGGCACCCCCTAGCAGCAGTGATTGGAAATGTAAAGTCTAAAGGTCGCTCACGTTCAGAGCATCCAGCGTCTCCATGGCGGATAAAGGAAGCCATCTGCCGGGCATGTACAAATGGAATGGACTTGAAAAGATACCGCAAACATCCTGTCTGCCGGAGACTTTCTGTCTTAGAATTTCTAAGATATCCTGGATGGATGAACTTCCATTGACGACTGGAAAAACAGTTCACCAAAGACGCGATCAATGACTTTGTAAAACTTACCGAGCGCAAAGTTCCCAGATGGACACTTTATAAAGATGGTAAAGGCAGGCGGACTGCAGGAGCGACATTTTGCTCGGTTCCATAATCAGTCTCTTTGTGGGTCGAACACCTATGTGGAAGAAAGACGTTACTGAATTGCAAGGCTGGGTTTGCTAAGCACGCACAAAGAGACTTCGAGGTGATGGCTGTGAGCAGTCTGTGAGAGTGATAAAAGCCTTGAATTTCGTCAACTGAACGTCGTGAAAATACTCAGAAGAGGCTTTACCCGTGAAGAGCAGAAGCACGCCAACACAGCAAGACAAGAGGACGCAAGTCTCTGCTTGAGAACTGGAAGTGTTTTCACTCATGAAAGTTTTGCGGTCTCCGCAATGAAAGTGTGCTTTATATACCCGTTTTTGCGCATTGTCATACCGTCTTAAAATGGTTAATTAATTATGGTAAAGACTACATTGCTGGGCCCAAATTCAACCAGTTTTTCAGCCAGAATGAAATAATTTCATCTTTTAGTGAAAGATATTCTTGGCCCAGCGAAACATTTCCACTTCATATAAAAAGACGCCGATATTTTCCATCCGAAATTGTAACGAGTGTCACCGGATATCCCAGAAAATCTTGTCCAATGATGCAGGGCCATTCATTGTGTCAGAATAACAGGACCCTAACGATGAGACAACTGTCAGTGTCTATGCATGCTTCCATTTCACGTCACGGAGACAAACACGAATAAGAGATATTCCTTGATTTTTCCAGATTTACGTCCTGATCTAGGCCAGGACAACAAGCGATTTTCGGGTATCCACGTTTATACCTGTTTCTCGTCAAATGCCCAATCAACACCTTCCACTTGGTGAGTCGTCGTAAATTATCTTTTCATTCCATTGACTGTGGTGAAGTACCAGATGAAATAATTTTGCCGAGACTGAAAGAGCTTTGGCTGATGGAGGGCAACGTAACCGATACCAGTTCTGTGTGAAGAACTCCAGAAAGTTTTCGATACGTCGAAGTATACCTTGGGGTATGTTGAAGTTCTCGCCCGGAGGATCCATTAATGGTTTCTTTCCAGCCTTTCCAGCTTCAAAAGGATGAGAAAAAGGCTAGGATTCCTCAGTACATGGCAGCAAAAGCATACTGTTGAGACTGTCTCGGAACATTTGGACGAAATGCGGGAGCAATTCCCTAAGGCGGGTTATTTCGAAATGAAGAAGCATCTAAGAATCGACCACAATGTGCGAGTTTCAAGGTGAGTCTTTAAATTCTTCTAATGGTACAATTCTTAATGAAAGGGAAGAGACGTAATCAAGGAATGGGTGTATTTGAAGGAACCCTTGCATGCGTCCCGAAGAATTCGAAAGGGACTCGTCAGAAAAGTTTTTTATTGTGCTGGTGTCAATGACCTCTGGTGCGTCGACCAACATGACAAGTGGAAATATTGCTTTGGCCTCTGCCTTCACAGTGGCATAGACCCTTTCACTGGCATCCTGAAGTGGATGCGAGTCTGGTGGAACAATTCAAATCCCATCTTAATCTGTTCATACTACCTGGATGTAGTGGAACACACCAGGCGTAGGTCTTTAAACCTTTCTGCAAGGGGTCACTATCTTACTCTCGTCCAGATGGTCCTGTTCTTACACAAAGTGATATGGGCAACGAGAACGGTAACCTGGCTAGGGCGCATAGCTTCTTGCACCAATGGGCTGACAAGGACTTGGACAATACCTTGCAGCACCGATGGATGGCAGAGAAGAAAAACATTCCTTCAGAAATCGTATGGAGTGTGTTCCGCGCTCACTTTAGCTTTGGCTATGAAGGAATCTTTCAGTTTGGCGTTGAGCAAGGCTGGTATGACCCGAAGGTGCCTCTGGAAGCATACGTCTCTTCTCTTTAACAGCTTCAAATCGAACTGGACTCAGCTGATTTCATAGATTGATATTCCGTTTCCTTTTTATCCCTTGGTTCCAACGAGAACTCGATTTGTATGTGATCAAAAACAACACAACAAAGAAAAGACGAAATCGCAAGGTGGCAAGACCGAACGGAGTCCCTTTACTCATTGAACAAGCTCCTGAGTGATTTGGGGCCCAGGATTTCAAGGTACCTACAAGCACCTATCATTTTTCCAAATTCAACGTTTCTTCATAGGTTGCTTTCATCCCAGAATCTATACAAGCTGTGAGGCAAATTTATGCCCCACCTGATCACCCCGTGCTGCAGCTTGTCCCTAACTCGTTTAGGCAGTGGGCTGAAGTATTTATGGAGGAACTCGGCCATCCAGAAGTAACCCGAGAGTGCATCTGGAATGTATACCTTGCATTGCTGGATAAATTTCACGAACGCCATATTGTTGTTCTTGATGAATGGCACGTCGCTTCTACGAGAGCATACGAAGCAGAAGAAACTGACGAGAATCAAGGAGGTCCAAAACAGGTGGTTGGGCAAGGTCAGAATCTTTCAAATCGGACACTAAGCAATCTGATAAACTTCAATCAGACCAAGCTACAATACCTGATATTCCAGACTTGAACAGTGATGACGAACTTGATGATGCCAATGCGGAAGATGTCGAAGCTGATGAAGAAGATGCTGAAATTTCGGGCGAGGCACCCATTATAGAGATGTCCATCCGAGAATTCTTACAGCATATGTAGTGAATGATGTTATATTTTCTTTTGCTCAGGCATACGAGACTACATTATAGGTGGTCGTGGAAGGGGACAAAGGCCACGAGCCAGTTCATCTTTTGAATTCTATTCTGGGATGTCACAGGATGGCACTCAACTCGCATGGTCATATGATGGCTCGATGGTGTTGACTAAGACCATCATCCAGCTCGATGACAATGCTGACTAAGACTGTCATCCAGCTCGATGACATTGCTGACTAAGACCCACAATCCAGCCTTCCAGTCTTTGAAGACAGATATAAAACAGTGTGAGATATAACATTCAAGGTCACTTTGAAATGTGTCTGGGCATACCTCTGAATGGGCGGATGCGATCTTGTGCTCTATTGTCTCATGAAATCCCATTTATAGTATTCACGCCTTTTAGGGCAGTATGTATACATCTGGTTTCTATATCCTACGTTGTGGTCTGTCTCGAGTGGTATCTACTGAGGGTGGTACGCTTTACTAACTAATTTCTACTAGCACGTCGTGAAAAGAGGGGGGGGCAGGAGAGAGTGATATCTAGGTGGGCTGTACTTGGGAGAGATGGGTTTGTGGCCTTGGGAGGCCTGAAGGTAGTCGCCTTGGATAGTGGTCGAGTTGTGTGAGGGGGGTTTTCGCAGGGTGTTGTAGATCGGGGGATCACATAGCCATGTGTGGCATCTACGTAGCACTTGCGGAGGTTGTACGTTAGTACAGGCTTATGGATGAAAGTGTGTGAGGACTGTCCTCCAGTGTGGAGGTGGGAGGAGACTGTCTGCGAAACATGAATCCTCCCCCTCGCATGCCCTGAGGCACCTCAAGATGTTGGCTCGAGCTACATTCCACAGGGGAGGAGCATCTTGCCATGGTCTTGCGTCGTTTGTTGCTAGGAGTAGGTGTCGTAACATGTGTAGAATACAGTGTTGTGGTTAGTGATGGTCGCTCAATTTTCTCTCAAAGGTACTGTTAATCAATGATAGTTGCCTGTGGCAAGGGATGATTATCTGGGGCTCAGTCAAACATCTGCTGTGTTGGTTGCTATACGCAATCGCATGTGGTAAGTTGTTCTCTACCGTAGGTGTATTGTAAGGGAAGAAAGAAAAATAAAGAACCTTGTAAGACATCGTGAACGTGTATGTAGCTAAGCATTCACAAAAAAATCGAGTTGAGGAGAGTCGAGAAAGGAAGTTGAAGAATGCCAGTCGAGCGTAGGAAATGACTGATGGAGTAGGTGGTAAACACAGCTAGCTTGTGTTACCAGATTCACATTAAATTGATTCTATGATACCATTTCATAGATTGTAGTATCCTTTATAACATTCTGTCCTTTCTCGCAGGCAAACAGATGTGACAAAATATTGTAGAAAACCGAAGAGAATTCTATGCTCTTTCTTAGGTACTGGAGACGATGGGAGATAGGTACCTGATATCCATATGATAGACACCTTTGCCTATGTACATTTTCTCTTCTGCTCACGGTGTGATTCCTCCAGGGGTCGTCCACTTCATTAGGCTTCCTTTTAAGACCAACAGCTAATCCAGTCTGCTCCACTATCTCGACGTCACTTTCGCATGAATCTGCTGGCTACTGGAGGTTGCTGTTGCCATCATAATGAACCATTTGTTGGAGAGATCAATGATCTCATTCCGAAAAGATGCTCGCAAGCCAGGAACCTCTTCATCATCCCAAAAAGTCTTCAGATCAACGCCAGTCGGAAGGGTTGAAGTTGACTGATAATGTCTTATGTGAATGAGTTGAGGATGACAGGTGAGAATGATTACCATGACTTTGTAAAATTTGTCAGGATCCGACATGAATTTTGCGGCAAAGTGCATCATGTATAATCCACAGTCAGAAAAGTTTGGTTGTTTGGGTACCTGCTTTTGTGTTAAGCCAGTGATTGGCATGTGTTCTGGGACCTACAGTGACAGTTTGACCAATCGCCTCCATTATATTTTGCAACCCCTTCTTGTCGAGGGCTTCAAGGGCGAGGAATTTCCCTAATTGGCTGGCTTCGCTCCAATGCGAATAACCAAGGGAATCGAGGGTAAAAATAATCGTTCTGCTGATCGATGTGATTACAATGAACCACACAGTTCTAGTCTGACTTACCTGTGGTCATTGCTTTGGACAAGTTTTGATTTTCACCGTTTCCAAGGTGTTCTTGATTCGTTAGCAGCGCATATTCAGGATGGCAAATAATGGCGAGGTACCAATGAAGACTATATATGTTGTCAAGTCACAGTTGAAGCAGCTAGGGAGGAAAATTACTCTTCATTTGGTTGTAATAATCGTATTTCTTCTTGAATATGTCGAACTTTGCAGTCCAACGGTGGACGTCTTGGTAATTCCTATGAGAATATATAAGCACGGCTCCCAGTGACGTTGATAAGAGCTCACTTCTGGAACTTTGGGAACCAAAAAGGACTAAAAATAGTAATTTCTTTTGCAACAGAGGGCTTGCCAGTTTGCAGAAGTTCATACGTCAGCCTAAAGATATTTGTAAAAATTGAAACAGGTGGTTTACAAGTCACACACCATAATCCGAGCTCTATGAGATTGTCGTTCAAAATTCTCCCAGTGATTACCCTCAGATCCACTGTTGCTAATATTCACACCACCTGTCATAGTCCACAGGTACACTAGTATTCTGCAAGGCATGGGCAAAGATTCGTAACATTGGAGAAGGACGAACAACTCATCAGGATCCTTTGCTTGCAGCTCACCGTCAGATGCTGTTTTCCGAAATTTGCTGAGGCAAGCAAGTTTTTAGGTGATTGCAAAGACTGAAAGTTCAGCAACGATACATGATTTCTTTTTGATGAACTTGATTCATCCTGCAACTGGTAAAATAGATGACCGAAGACAGTCAAAATTGAACCTGCCTGGGTTTTGCGCTTGTCCCTTCTTTCGATTCCAGTATGGAATGGTCTCGAAATGGCAGATGGCTTCGGCGGAACAGGGAAATTCTGGTTCATCTGGGCTTGAATCTTGTGAACAGTCTTCAGCTACAGTATCTTGATCCTCCTCATCTTCTGGAGAGAATCGGAATAATAAGGGGACAGTTTTTGGCCCTGAGAAATCCCTGTGAGAATGAAACTAAATTGGCAGAATTGCCAATTTACTCAAGGGCTTATATCTTTGGGTACACATAGCCAATAGGAGATCAAAAGTGATTGATGAATGATAATGATCTTTGATGTGAGCAGTTACTTCATCGGAGTCTGAACTAGAGTCTGAATTTCCCATGTGAAAACAATTTGCCTAAAGTCAACACGTTTTGAGGTGCGAATGCTGTTGATCTTCCAATTGGTAGTACTTGCTCTGGCTGCCATCCTGTTCTTTACTATGGCTAGAGATTTATCTGTAAAGAATTATATTCCCCTAGTTCCGATTGAACCTAATTTCCAAAACTATAGTAATTGAACACGTATGAGCACAGCTACTCTACAAAGGACCATGTGGTATGGAGAATCTCTTATCTAAATAGTGGAAGTGTCTTCAGAAATTGAGTGTCTTCAAATAAATCAGCAAGTCACCTGTTTCGACCTATTTATGCCAGTTAGCAGTGAACAAGGGGAATTTCAGTTTGGACCTAGTATACATACTGACCATGGATTTTGATGCACATATTGCACAATCTATCGAAAGTCAAAGACATTGGCACTCTACTGGTTGACATATTGTCTCATGTGATGTCATCAACACGGCATCATCCATAATCGCAGCTCGCCTGAAAAAGCTCTAAGAACTTTTCAACCATAGCTTCAGGTACTTGATCATGCTGCTATCGGTTCCTGGGCAAAGAGATCGAAAGAAAAAATTGTCCGAATACTGATCCCCTCAAAACCATCGATCAGCTGCGCTTTAGTCCATAAACCCAAGGCTCAAGCTGAATTGCACTGATTGATGTCCTTTATAAAGAAATGACTCGCCAATGATGAAGACATACTGGTGGAAACTTGATTGAAACATTTCATTTTCAAAGCATATGGGTCTTTGTTTTCTTGGAAGGTTATGGATGCAAAATTAACATAGGTTACTTACTATCCATAATCTATGACCTGTACAGTTGCGCATTTCAAACCACGAAAAGCATAACAATGTATTTATGTACAACCCACAGGCTCATTTCAAATCATGGAATGCCGAGTTTGCCATAAGCACAAAACTGGGAATTTTGATTACCCAGCGGAAAGGAAAAAGAAATATTATGTAGATGATATTCAATGTTATGCTATACTTGGCTACAGATAAGTTTCCGGGGTCATATTGCTATACATGGCAGGTGTTAGCATTGCAAATACCGGCTATTGCTTATAACCGGAGCGTACCAGTCTTGTATTCCATAGGAACGTCTTTTTGCCCCCCTTCCCCAGCCCTCCCAGCCAATTCCCTGATCACCTTGACTTTCTCTGTCAGATGGGGTCACCTACCTAGACGCCGTCCTCGACCTGTCCTCGACCTCACCGTCACTCCCTGGTGCGCGTCGACAACGCTGGACCCATCTGTGAGACCTACTCCACATTCACTCCTTACGACCAGCCGCCAAACATGGCTCTGCTGCCGTCTGTCATCATGGCCCTTTTCCCGACACGCTGGAAGCAAGGGCTCTGACGGCAACACCCAACTATGATGAGACTATATGACGGTGAGCGATGGAGGAGCATGCTGGTAGAGGGAACGTGGAGGAGCAGAGAACGGCATCTCGCCGCGCGACCTACGCTCACTGCCGCTCTGGGCATGATTGCCCTCTGTCTAGTCCGTCATTGTTGCTTAGTCCGCTGGCTAGCCAATTATTCCGGTCGTGCATGCCGGAACCCAGCGTACACTTTTGTGCGCCTACGACGATGTCTAGTTATCATGATAGCGTGACGTGACGGAGGCATTACTGCCTGTACTGCCTACATGGACCTCATCATCGCTCCCTGATATGCACCCACTGGTCTGTACCATGATACCGGCACCATCTCCAACGTCGTACCGTTGGAACATATGGTATCGTCTTCTACCCATTGTCTTCCTACCCGTCGGACGATTTCAGACCCCATCCACTCCTCGCTCTTTCGTCCCGTCGCCCATTTCCGGGATTGGTTTCAACTCAAAGGCTTCGACTCTTTGGTCTGCCCTCTCTGTAAGTTCACGTCAGCTGTTGACAACGACGTACCTCACCTTTTCTATCAGCCTTCCTACCAAATGCCCGTGCCGTCCCTCATCGACGCTTGGTACACCTAGAAGATATTTCTCCCTCCTCACCGGAATTCGCCTTTCATGCCCCACGGCGTGCGCAACCTCCCAGGTCACTGGTTCACCTTTATCCTCGCCACCTCCGCCTTCTGCTTAACTTCCTTCTCCCGCACTCGTCGGACGTCGAGGGGAAAACCTGCTACCGCTCGACTTCCACGAAGTCGAAGAACAGATCCCCAGCATTATTGGCTCATAATATCAGCGATGTTGTCTGCCCTCAAGACACCCTCATCATCGGCTACGGAGGGGACAGATACTGTCCTTCCGATTCTTTCTCCCCTCACTCGTTACGGGGAGAATGTTGCCATCCCTTCCTAGTCTCACTAGCTTTTCGCCGCCATCGTCGCCAGCGCCTATTGTCCCATCACTTTCTGTTTTTTTTCTGTCATCCAGGTTTGCTTTTACGAGGCACGCGTCTCCTCCGCACTGGTTGATGTGCCCATTTCTCGTTCGCCTTTTGTTGGTCTTTGCCCCCCGCAAACTCATACATCATACCGGTCGTGCGATCCCAGCATCGCCCTTTCGTCTGCCCAATCAAGTGTTACTCTACCGTCGTCTGTCCTTGGCGTCTGTATCGCCTCTTCCCTGTAATCTTCTCATGACACTGCAACTACGTTCCTCAGGCTGATCCCTACCCTATTCGCCACACTCATCTATACCCCGCTAAGACGCGGGTGCAGGGCACGGCGTTCATCATTCTGCATACCAGCCAGGTTTTCTTAACCTTGACGTTCACTTATGTACGGGGATTGTCGATGGCTATCCATCCTCAATCTCGATGTCATTCTTATTTCATAAGTTTACCTTCGCCGACGCTACCTCGATAGAGAGGAACACGGCGGCACTGTTCTCATACGGCACTGTGTACGCACGTGATCGGTTCCATTGTACCCACCGTTGTCGTCCAATCACCCCTATCACCACGACAGTTTCGTACATCGGGGATAATCGACGCTGTGCATGACACCGACGCCAGCAAAATCGCCCAGAGGCCTATTACCTGTGGTCACGCAGGGTGGTATGACTTGATCAATTTCTCGCTGAGTGCGGAGGATGGCACTGGTAAAGCCAACGCGAGAGTTGAAGGCAAGAAACTGTCTGCATGTCTACTTGGCTATCCCTATCGATTGGTGTCACCCGTCGTCCATATTCGGCTCTTGGTTCAGCCCACGCAGTTCCGACGACGGATGTGTTCATACCGGTTTTCCTTCGCCGCCATCTTTCTGTGCTATGTGCGGTACCCGTAGTCGTCACCCACGACTCCAAAGTTCAAACCATCAAGATACTATCCCATAATGCAAAATATTTTATCGACATCGACGAGGTTTTTTGAGTCCGTTACCGATGCTGCCTGGAAGATGGAGCCATGCTGAGTTGACGGGTGCGAAGGAGGAGTAACACCGCGGAGTTAAAGATGGTTGGAGTAGTGACGGCCGAAAAAAGCAGGATACTGCTTCCTGGAGGGGCCACCACCTTCGAGTTCCACGATAAATGTTAACGTGTCAACATGGCGGAAGCTGAAGGTATGGGACAATGGACTTTCAGTCGGTCTGTCCTTCCCCTAACGCTTTTGCTGATATGATCAAAAGGTTAGGATAAGCTGTCGGGCATTCTGGGTTTTTTTGATTGCCTGCGATTAGGATCAGCGTTCTCTCATTATTTTCACGGTTACTTCATCAAACGGATTTTTGTTGATTTTTTTGTACGCTGAAAAACGACCTATAACACTAGACGATTCCATCATGTCGAGTAAAACTTAATGAGAACTCTTGTTCCTGACATTATTCTTTTCGAGAATACGTGGTAAATCCAAAGCAATTGAAAACGATACAGTGCAATTCAGGTACATGGGTCAGGGGAGGGAATTTTGGTATTCCGAAACGTGATCGGATTGCACAGATAATCGGAATGATACAGCGCTGGTGATCATCGGTCAGCGGCACGGGGAAATGCATACGGAGAAAATTGTGGGAATAATCAGCGAACAGATCGAAAGCAGTGGAGTATAGAACCGACTGAAAGCCCGTACAAACGTGAGTAGCGGGTTGAGTGATAGAGTCTCGAGAAGGAAACAGTGATAAAAGGGAGGGAGAACATAAGTGAAATTGGAGGGCAAAAAGTGGGGAGATATTATACTGAAGCCACCTTAGCGTCCGTAGTCCGCGCCGTCATCACATTCGATCGGTTATAGAAATGTCCATCCGCTGCGTCACCATCGAAAAAGCCGTTTAGAGGCACTGGTCGTGACTGGGAGCGTTAGGTTTTCTTGAGCCGTGGTTAGTTAAAGCCACGGCAGATAGATGCTGTAGAAAGAGAGAGAGCTGGGCAGAGGGGACACCGTACAATGAGATTTACGATGTCGGAAGAGCTGAACGCAACGGCATCGGAAGAGAGCTGGTCGGAAGCCGCCCGCAAAATCCCTGAGGAGAGCCGCAAATCCTCGTATGGATTCACCACGATAGCGGTCGTGTCAACGAGCGGGCTGCATATGCGAATTTGAGCCTGAGGGATCTATGCAGAATCACATCGGTTTTTCCATATCACGCATGGAGGGCATACATCTTGAACATGAGCTGTACAGTGAGTCACAAGACAGTGCCAGTGGTGAACAAGAATACTGTCGTCATAACGCGTGCCCACACGGATACCAGCTCAGGTCCAGGGAAGCAGCATGAACGGAGATAAGAAGTGTTCTCAACACACTGATTGGAGGCACTGAGGCTGTTCAAGTTGAAGACGAGCTGCTGAGTGCAGGAGAAGCGCCTTCCATTTTGGGCTTCTGCCAATCAGAGCCATCGGAGGTCGGATCTCACCTGCTTTCGCACTTGCCCAACCCCTCCTTGACGAATTTTTTTGCAAGCTCGCCACCGATACCTATTAGCTTGTGCTCTCTGGTCTTCAAGCTAAGCTTCAAACTTCATCAAATCAGCGACCTTATTGTTACTCCTCTCAAGAATCACTATGGCCATCGAACCTCTTCTTTGTAAATCAGCCTTCAATCCATCTACGCGATAGGTTTCATAATCAACAAACCGGACAACAACGAGGATCGGACAGTACGCAGCGAATCTGGAAGGATGCTTTTTATGGGAATGGGTGGAACGAGCAGAGCAAGGATATCGATATGAGAGGGACGTATCATGCTCGCCGTCGCCTCGTAGAAAGGTCCGTTATTAAAAAATTCTAACCTCTATATAATATGCTCATCTTCAAAACTTTGTCAGCCATCTCTATCTCTGCTTTACAACTAGGACTACGTGCTCAGTGCTTAACCCCAACAACTTACCGTGAAGTTTTTGGAAGATACTATCAGATCACTGTCACTTTCAGTCGATAGAGCTCCTCTGGAATAAAGTTTCTTTGCACACTGCACCGCATTGGTCAGATTTTCACCTCTTTTCGCTTTCTGATATCAATAAATGGTACACCGACGTCATTGGCACAGCAACAGCACCAGATTCTCAGCGTATCTCGTGAATGCACGGTATCACTAGCATCTTCACTGTTGGGCATGCGCATTCAAGTATTGGAGCAGAGCAAGTACAACGATTGTGTTTACCTCGACCCGTATTTCTGCCAACGTGTCATACCCGGATTTCCAACCTCACCAGCCCTCCCTGGAGCTGCTATAGCATCGCAAATTCGCCTCCTTGGCACATTCTTGATGTAGTCTTCGTCTCTCGAAACTTTCTTGGATTGTCGCTACTTCTCCCCTGAAGATACCATTGGCAATCCGGACAGGGAGTCATTTTGGCTGTGCGATTCCGCTCGCGTTTTGACTGTCAGTGAGGAGGCATTCTGTTTGTGTTCTATGGTGTTATTCCTCAAGGGTGGTTGATTATGTAGGATGGTACGCTTCATGGGATCTGGCTCCCTTACTCAAAACACAACTAAATGAGGAAGAGTGTCCACGGCAAGTTCAGCATTATTTCAATTAATTATCAGTCAACTCAACTACTCGTATAGCGCCTAAAACACGCTGTTCTTCAACTTCGAGCACGCACCACTTGCCGGGATACTAATTAGAAATAATCGCATGCCACGAGAAATCTTGGTGATAGATCTACCAAAGGCCTACCGACGTACGCGTCTTCTTCTACTATCCGCCCATGGCTGCCCTGCCATCATAGCTTTCCTTCGCCTAGTCCAGATTGCAGATCGTCATTGACCCTACAAACCCGGGAATGTACCCAGTTGTCGGATAACACGATCGATCGGTGCTCTCAGGCCGGACCGGACCCCAGCAAAAACTGACAGGGCGACGCGTTATAAAGGCCGAATAGATCGCGGAGGACCAACATTCACAGTTAGATTGGAAGAAAAGAACGGATCAATGACTACGAAGAGCTCAAGAGTTTTCGAAGTCCAAGTCTTGGGGGTGAAAGGATCGAATCGAGATAGAGTGCGCTGGAAGACAAAGGACATGGCAAGTCTTTAAAAGGCTCCTTGAATTTAATAACGTAATAGCGCCGGCAAGCGGCAGAGCCCGCTACCTTCATCTCACTTATCGCGAAAAATGATGCTTGTACCAAGTTTGCCTTCAATTCCAAGGTCCCCCTTCCCTCAATCACCAGAGTTATCCGTCGATAAGACTCACGAACTCATACTTAAAATAATTTATCCGGGTGTCTTCGATCCCATGGTCGCCGTGATGTTTGGATCCCTACCTTCAACGCCGGTCAATCATCGTTTTGACGACGCATCGTACAAACGGTCTTTTCCTGCTTTCGCGTTCATATATATCTGCATAATATCCTGTGGATTCTCATCTTCCGATCCACGCGCAGTATCATGATCGAGGCGAGCTACGAATATCATTAGAGAGGTGGGAAAGTGCCCTGTATCTGAAAGGCTTAGCTGTGGAGAAGGCGGAATGAATAGATGACGACGAGAGTGAAGCGAGATGCCAGCGATGTTATGACTATTGGCTTCTGGTACGAGATCGTTGACCCGCTCGCCTGGTGGATGGTATTGCTCATTTATTGGCAATGCGACGTCATTCTATCTAGGTAAGAAAGGGTTCTATCTTATTATCCTCGCTCTTATGAAACTTCCATCAGGGTTTTTAATCAGTTATTCGAGGGTCTACAAGGAACACAAAGCGGTTGTTGACTCGTAGCAAGAATATTTTAGGACTTGATAGGTGTTGAACCCGTTTATTCAGGACTTGTTTTGTTAAATAATAAAACACATATGATCTCAGAACAAAGGAAAGCGATAAATGCGACAAAGCAAGTACCCTAAGCATAAGAAAACAAGACAATATCCAAGATGTACATACACTGCTGTGTTTACAGACATTCTTGTGCCCAGGCTTCCGCACTATGCACCGCACTGTAGCTCGCAGTCGGATAATCCTTGCAAAACACTGCGCTCGAGTTCTGGACGTTAATGCTGGAATTATCGTTCTGGTACTGAGTGACATAAGAATTCCCCACTTGCGAGTAGGAATGGCCGTCGGCCTGAGTGATGCCAATTTGAGCAAAAGGTTGTGGGGTAGGTGTGAAGGTCACTGCATTGCCGTAAGAGTAGGATGTGTTGGCATTAGTGGAGGGAGGGTGCATGTTCGTGGGAGTCGTCGTGTCACCAGCAAAGGTGTTGACATTGGAAGGGAGAATATTGTCAATGTTGGATAATTGGTTCATCCCAACGCAAGATCCAGACTTAGTATTAATCAGCTAGCAAGTGCCCGACACTTCGAGCACTTTCTTTCTTACTCAGACGGCGCATCGTACACCCGCTATTATTACTAGAACTTTCTTTGCACTTAGGTATAAATACGAGACATACTCTGTAGTAGCATAGTGAATCCACTCTACTCTTATTACTCTACCACTTCTATAATCTCACAGGTTATTGGGCCCCACGCTCAACTACGCCACAAACACCAAATCACTGTCCAATTCCTTAGTCCCACCACATAATGACTAACACTACATCTGGTCCCAGCACCAATCCCGGCAACGCTGCCACCACTACACCCACAAATCCTGCCTCGAATACAAATCTGACAACCTCTACCAACCCCACCTCAACATCCACCAGTACGGCATTCTCTATGCCGAGCTATGCCCATCTCCCATCTTCTTCTTCTGTCCAACGAGTCGATTATTTTGCGCATGTCCCAAAGCTTGATGCCAAGGGAAAGAATTGGTCTATTTTCTGAGAGCGCTGGAAGATCACAGTCCAAGGTGCTGGGCTTGGCCGTCACTTTGACCGTACATACGTAGTCACAGTACCTAGCCCAGGAGAAACAGATCAGACCATTCTTACAGAATACGCGAAATGGCAGCAAGAAGAATTGCAGGCATGATCTCACCTGATGGGTACACTTGTGGATAGCACTCTTCAAAAAGCCATTTGGGGTGCACCCAGTGTCAATCAGATCTGGGAACGACTAGAGGAGGAATTTCAGCGCAAATCAGAAGTGATGAAGGCAAACTTACGGGCCGACTTCATGGCTATGCACTGCGAAGAGCATGCAAATGTGTGCAAATTCTTGGACAAACTCATGGAAACATATGATGACCTATTAAACATGGGTATCAGTGTATCAGATGATGATTACAAGTCAATGGTACTCAAATCCGTACCTCGAGAGTACCAAATCTTCATCTCCACTGTCCAGGAATCATCACGACATGCACATATCACACTATCAGTTGATGACATCATTGACTCTCTGCAACGCGAGTACGACTTTCGGAGTCATGACACACAGCATACCAAATCCAAGGCCAAGAAAGTAAGGGATGACACAGAGAATATCGCTGCAACTGTGCAGAATTCTCGTGGCAATAGGAAGGGCAGATCTGGAGGGCAGAAAAATCAGGGAAAATCCTCGCAATCAAAAGAAGATCACACCTGTTTTAACTGTGGAGGAAAAGGCCATATTTGGAGGAATTGTCCCAGTCCGAAGGACTTGAATGCAGGTCCCCAGCCGGATGGGAGGGATGGCGAGAAAAAAGGTGATGATGCTGCAAAGGATAAGCCCAAAGGAGGGCAGGCAGGAGGATCAGCAAACACGAGCACGGAATCAGAAGATACCTTTGGTGCAGGAGCCTGGTTGGCACACCCCTCAACAGATGACTCAGACAGCGATGGTTGGCTTTCCGAAATTGACGAGGACCCGATGATGGGTATTGGAGCATTCTCTGATATGTCTGATGATGATGAAGCACCATCAGACATGCTTGCCGCTATTCAGAGCGTCGATCTTGATTCAGGACCAGTCAAAGAGGAAGACCTATCGGACGATAATATGCCTAAACTGGAAAGTGTTAGTGACTCTTCAGAGGATGAAGAGGAACTCACTGATGATGAATTTGACAATTTGCCAGACCTTGAGGACGTTGGAGACTCATCTGATGATGAGGATAGCTCTGAGTCTGAGGTTTGCACTGGCACTGTTATTGCATCTGCTGAGGATGCAAATCTGGAAAAGAAGAATGAGTCAGAAATCGAATTGTTTGACTCAGGTGCTTCACGACACATGTCACCTCACTGACATGCATTCATTAATTTTCATGACATCCACCCTCGGTCATTTGACGCAGTGAACAAGAACAAATTCTTTGCTACAGGACAGGGAGATATGACTGTCAGTCTTCCGCATGGTTCTGAATCGACAGAGATTCGACTCACTGGTGTTCTGTATGCTCCCGATCTCACATACACTCTTGTTTCTGTTGGGCGTCTTGACGATGCAGGCTACACTGTGACTTTTGGGAATGGACAAGGTGTCATCCATGATAAAGATGACACTATAATCGGTGTCCTACCCAAAACAAAGGGCCTATACCAGTCTATACATGAGACATCAGTCTCATCATCAGGGGGAGAAGCTCATGCCATAAAAGAAAAGCTCACCTTCATAGACCTGCACCACTGTATGGGCCACATAGCACCAGAAGCAGCACGTCATCTTGTCCTAAATGGTCTTGTGGATGGTCTCAAACTTGAGGATGTCAAGGGAGAATCAACGTTTTGCGAATCTTGTGTGTTCGCAAAAGCGAAGCAAAAATCTGTTCCAAAGGAAAGGGAAGGTCAACGGAAGAGAACTTATGGAGAAGAAGTTTATTCTGACCTTTGGGGACCCTCATCTATGGCAACTATTGGTGGCAAACGGTACTTCATGTCATTTATGGATGACAGTACCTGCGATACGCATACATACCTTCTTCGATCAAAGGACGAAACCTTCCAAGCCTACAAGGGATATGAATCCTGGGTTAATACACAAATGCAGGTAGCCATCAAAACCTTACATTCTGACCGAGGAGGAGAATACCTATCAGAAGAGTTTACTCAGTACCTCAAGTCTCGAGGAACTGAACAAAAGCTTACCATGCATGATACACCCGAGGAGAATGGAGTCACTGAGAGACTCAACCGTACACTGCTTGAAAAGGTTCGTGCTATGCTACATGACAGCAGCCTGCCGAAGTTCCTGTGGGGAGAAACCCTGTTGCATGCAGCTTGGCTGAAAAATTGGACATCAACAAAGGTGTTAGCAGGGATCACACCACATGAGGCAGTTACAGGGAAGAAACCGAACCTTGCGAAGTTACCAATCTGGGGCTGCCAGGTATGAGTACATGACAACCAACCATGGCACCACAAAAGCGGTGACAAGCTCGAGCCGAGAGCACACATTGGCCATTGGGTTGGCTTTGCAGATGAGAGCAAGGGCCATAAAATTTACTGGGAAGGAAAACAGTCAGTTACTGTTGAACGGAGTGTCTACTTCAATGAAACATACCTCGAAAATGGCAGTAGGACTGAGGGGGAGAAAGAGGATATACATCCACCAGAAATCAGTCCAACACCTAAAGTTCCAACATGCCCTACAACACCTATACAGTCCGCAAAGACCCCTGAGCCCACTCCCGAGCCACCTATGCTATGCCGAAGCTCCCGAACAACCACTGATTACAACTACAGAAAGCTGGGCAATCCCAACACCCGATTACCAGCTGCACCATGCGATCCAAAGCCATTGGTAAAAGTCGAGAACGTTGTTGATGATGAAGAAACCGGGGGAGCTGCTATGGCAGCAGCTATGTCAGACATGGAAGGTCTTGAACCCCAAACCTTGTCTGAGGCAAAGTGTCGTCCTGACTGGTCTCATTGGGAAGAAGCCATACAAGAGGAATTGAAGAACTTACAGGAACATGGCACTTGGGAAATAGAGGAGCCACCACTGAACGCAAACCTCATTACTTGCAAATGGGTCTTCCGAGCCAAAAAGGATGCTGCAGGCAACGTCGTGAAGTACAAGGCACGACTAGTAGCACACAGCTATAAGCAGGAGGATGGTGTCGACTTCTTCAGCGATGAGGTATTTGCACCCATTGCATGGATGGCATCGACACGTACTGTGCTGGCTTTAGCCGCATGTTATGACTTCGAAATTCACCAAGCAGATGTTAAGGGTGCTTACCTTAATGGAGACCTCATTGAAAATGAAGTCATTTACCTCAAACACCCTCCTGGATATCCCCTCTCTGCATCGAAAACATCTGCATTGCGACTTCGCCATCCTATCTATGGTCTTCGTCAGTTGGGCCATTATTGGTACATCAAGTTTGGAAACACCTTGAAGGAGCATCTAGGGATGACACGATGCGAGGTTGATCACTCCGTGTACTATTGCCATGATGGAAAGAACCTGGCGATTATTGTCGCAGCTGTTGATGACTTGACAATTGTGACATCGAGTACAGAGCTAATGAGTGAAGTAAAATCGAAGCTGAAGGAGGCATTTGAGATCACTGATATGGGGGAGATTCACTGGCTATTAGGGATGGAAATAAGACGAGACAGAGAGGCATGCACCATTGCCCTATCCCAAAAATCGTACATTGAATCCGTGGTCAAGTGGTTCAATCTCGAGGATGCAAAACCCTCTGCTATCCCCATGGACCCAAATGCTCACCTATCCATCAATCAGTCACCTCAAACGACGCGCAAATTTGCAGAAATGCGAAATGTGCCCTATAGAGAGGGAGTTGGCTCCATCATGTACACATCTGTAGGAACTCAGCCAGATACCACGTATGCAGTCACAAACCTCTCCAAGTTCTCCAATAATCCTGGAATGGCTCACTGGAATGCCATCAAACGAGTCATCTGCTACCTAAATGGCACCAAGGACTGGTGGCTAGTCTATGGTGGAAAACCCCAGGAATTGGAGGGATTTGTTGATGCAGATGGGAATTCAAACAAAGATAGATTTGCAATAACTGGGTATGCATTTTTGATAGACAGGGGAGCTGTTAGCTGGAGCAGCAAAAAGCAAGAAATCATTGCATTGTCGACAGCAGAAGCAGAATACATGGCAGCAACCCATGCGACAAAAGAAGCACTGTGGCTGCACATGCTGATATCAGAAATCTTCGGACCATATGCTAAATCGGTCACATCAGTAAGTTGACATCCGTATGGTTCACATGGTGCCATGTAAACCATGCGAACTATACAGCTATACATGTGCATGGCTGTATAAGGTACCTACATAATTTTATACACCACGTATAGCACCTTATACACTGCCATGCACAATACACATCCATGCCATATACCACTCTATACCTGCATTTGCTGCACCGGAAATCCGACTCATATCTGTTCATTATGCTTGGTA